GAGGTGCAGATCCACACAGCCTTCACACACTTTGGCCCCAAGACCTCCAAACTGCTTAAGCGGACACACTGCCTTCAGTAAAATATTTTAGCAACCTAAGGAACAGAGGCACACTTAGAAAACCAAGACTCTGTTTCAAAGTAAGGCAAGTCACAAAATCACATTAACACAACACAAACAGAGGCTACACTGAGACTCTATTTCATGTCTCAAAATTGACATGAGAAAGTGAAAGGACTAAGGAAACAAACATTCCTGACCTTAAATCTTCAAAAGTGATACTGTAAAATCATTCAGAAAAGATAAAAACAGTATTAGAAATTAAAATTAACATACCAAAAGAATCAAGGTATTACTGTCCCCTGAAAAGCCCAAGCAACCCAGTTCTGTGCTACTGTATAATAGTATATACCAACTGAACCCTGTGAAATCCAAAAGCCCCTTAGAAACTCAAAGCAGTAGTTGAGTTTCCATCCTTTTAAGAAGTTACAATAATTAGAAATACAATCCTCACAGCAACATGTTTCTGAATCTTAATTTTTTTTCCACCTGTCAGCCTTTTGTTCAATACAGGGGAACACTGAGGACTTTTCATCCTTGTAAAACTATTCCTTTAAACCACAGACTTGTAGCTGTTTTGGGAATATTTTTGCATTAACTCTGGCACTTACACCAATAACTGGAAAGGAGGCAACGCTGTTTAAAATAGTGGCAAAAATGTTGCTTTGTTTCTTCCAAGGAGCCCTCCTATTATAATTAAAACACGAGTAACTCAAGTAACATTTCCTTCAGGAAATGTGTCTCACACACAGGGCCAGCTGCTGGCCTTGCTCCTCCTGGTCTCAGTCCCACGAGACATCCAGGTATGTGCCTCATTCTAATCAAGCAAATAGTCCCACTGTAGTGCACAGAACTATTTACCTGTCTAATTATAGGCAACCACTTTGGTACCCTGCTGAATCAGGGCTTTGCATAATATTTTGAATTACCCTGCAATAAAAGTCACAATAGGAAAAATATAAGGCGCAAAAAGAAAGAAAGACACGCACAGAAAAGCCCCAAATTAACAAATGTACAGAAAATTTTCATAAGGCATCTTACTTAGACAAGTGTAATTTGAATTCTTCTATATGGTTGGAGTATTGCCCTTGTTAGTTCCACAAACCATCATCCCTCATGCACACTTATAAATAAATTAAATTTTAACAACAACACAAAAAATCCTGCTCTGGCTTTTGAAATAAAAAAGGTTCTTTATTAGAAAGTAGAGGCTGTTTTTTCTAGCAGACAATGGATTTCTTCAAAGATGCTAATGGTATCTGAATCAAAACCAGTCAGGAGTCAGTAATTTCAGAAGAATTAAGTTTGAAATTTATTACTCCCTTTTCAATCAATTTCCAGCAGTCCCTCAAATGCACAGTTTTTATAACTACAAAAATACACATTCTTTGTAAACAGGAACAATGACTGGCACTCCCAAAGGAAGAAAAAAGCTCTCTAATCTCTCCTCAGGCTGAATAAACAAAGTTCTTCATCTCTGAAAGCTCTTAGTTAGAAACTAATGGATGAATGGAACAACAACCTCAGCCTGAAAAAAGAACCCCAAAACCCCTCTCAAACCAGATAAAAGGTTGCTCTTCACTGTTTGATGTCCCTGGAACACTTCAGCCATGCAGAAGAAATATCCTAAAAAACCCAAAGCCCACTTGCACTGGTGACCCACCAAGAGTACCTAGAGGGAAAGAAACAAACCTGCTAAACACTGTATAGGATAACTCATAAAATACACCTATAATTTAAAGGGCATTTTGATGGTAGCTCAGTGAAAAGTGTTACACTTCCCTAGCAGCTTCTAATGTGACCTAAATATTGCTCATCCACAGAAGTTGCCTATTTCTGAAAGAATCTGCAGTGGATTGGCTTACACCGTAAGAGCTGTATCTTCATCCAGATGGACTAAAGATACATGTATTAAAAAAAAAGAAAAATTAAAGAAAAATCAGGCTCCCCACTAGGACAGTAAAAATGCAACTGGATTTTTTCCCCCTGGGGATTTTAGTCTACTCCAGGACAAACACCGAGGTAACTAATACCAATTGTGCATCATTGGAAATAGCAAATAGTCAAGGAGAGCATAATGAGGCCTTTGATGGAAGTTAATGATAAAGTACTGGGATAAAAGCACTGGAGCTGTTGCTCAAAGCAGCTCTAAAGAACACACTTATGCAGGCAAGCACTGGGTGGGAGATCCCTCACATTTGGCTACGTTTTATGTAAAAACCCGAGTAAGCTCTTAAGACATGTGCTGTGCTTTTTGCTGCCACGAAACTTTGCAACTAATCTGCACGGCTTATTTTTTCCACAAGCAAGCCAGCCTCCAGCAAGTCTCATGTTCATCAGACCTCCAAACTGCTGTAAGGGCAAGTTATTAACATAAGCTCTTCGTCGAACGGGGTTCTCAGAAGAGTCTAAGACACTGATTAATAAACTGTGTCACTTCCCCTATCCCCTTCCTCCCAATTTAAACCAGGGCCATGGTAGGTTTGGGTTTTGGCTTTTGGGGTTTTTTGCAGCTAATTCTGAACCCGGTGTCTGGAGCAAGAGAGGGCAAGAGCTCCAAACCTCATCGAGCTGAGCTAAACAGCTGGGGTTAGGAAAGCTGGGAGCTTCCGTCCACCCACCGTTGCCTGATTTGCAGAGGCAGATGGAAAATGACTTTTGAACATGCACAGGCTCACTTCTGCATGCTTTTAAACCATCGGAAAGCATCTCGTTCTGCACAGGCAGCAGGTGTGACGCGTGTCTCCAGTGGGTCAGTGCTGGTCTTTGTATCACACTGCTCCCTCTCCTGGCCCACTTTATTCAGGTGTTTTGCTTTTCTGAAACCCACTGCCAGGTAAAGTGTCTCCACACAAAAGTTTCCTTCCACGTATTTCAAAGCTGGTCCGGTTCCAACGTACATCCTACCGATAATTGGAACGGGAAACCGCGCCGTGTATACATTTCTCACAGCACCTCACAAAGACTGCATTCCCCAACTCACCCACGCGCTCCACACCTTAACAATAAACATGCAAAGCAGCCTCGGTTCCCCCTCCCCACACACATGCTTTGTTCAGCGATCCATTTTCTACCCCACCAAGCTCACTAAATAAACATGAGGAGCCAACCCGCGGCACTCATCGCAGCGCCGGGTAATGTATGCAATTACGCTAATCTGGGAAGAAGGCTGCCAGTGGAAACCGAATACGGGAACGTCAGCATTCCTGACTAACGTGCCACGCTGCAACCCGGCACGGCGAGAAAAAAAACCTCCTTAACATACCAAATGGGACCTCTCGGACGGGAGGGCTGGAGCTCGCTTCTGCTCCAGGAAGGGACTGCGGCTGCCACCCTCCAGCTGAACGTCGTGAGGAGTCCAAGGGGAAGGCCGAGAGGCCGGAGCCTTTTTGTATCTGTGTGGATCATACCAACTTCCTAATAAAGCAAAGGCTCTCAGCTGCAGGAAATGAAACTCTGATTGAGATGAAGATTAGACTCCAGGCCAAAGTTAAGTGGAGCAGGTGTACCGTGAGTACTACCTCCAGACAGGCTATTCCATGCACAAACCACTGAACGAGCATCCCTTTCCTTACCGGGGTGACCGCTAGGCTTTTTTGTTAATTCCAACCACAGCTGTAGGGAGCTGGCAAGGGATCATCCGATGAAACCTCTCCTAGTGCCTTTTCAGGTCCCCAGCCAGATCAAAACTTCTCCTTCTCCCATATCTTAAACACTCCTGACAGACATAACAGCAACTGTAAAGATGTCCTTGATTCAGCAGCCTTGCTCCCGCTTTCTTTTTTTGGGGGAAATAGAAAGCAGTACTTCATGTGGATCCTTGGAGGTGTAGCGGCATGCCAAACGCTCACAGCAAAACAAAACCCCCAAAGTTAAAAATCCTCATGGTGCATTTACAAGACTGATTAAGATGGTCAGTGTAAGACAGCAATAGGCTTTGCTATTTTCCATGATTGCTGAGACTATGCAATGCGAGATCCTGAAAGAACCACTGTGATAGCCACTATCTATCTGATTAAATTGTATTTGCTGCTCTGTCAGTTTGAACACAAACATATACAGTGTCAAGAATGACTCAACGATTAAAACCAACATGTTAAAAGCAAGAAGTAAATCCTACACCCGAGGAAATAAGGCCTAGCCAGCTAGCACCTTTTCGCCACGAAAGTATCCTTATTAACTAGGGCCAGTAATAAGGCTGCCTGAGAAACTGAAGGGAACTATCTGTGCTTCTTTCCTTCTTACACACAGAGATCAGCCACAAGAAAAAAAAAAAAAAAAAAAAAAAAAAAAAAAGAAAAGGAAGAGGAACAAATATACAAGAACTTTCCAAACCTTTTCATCTTTTAAAGCCTCCCTGCACTAAAAAAAAATTAATAACAACGTCTCCATAAACCACAAATTTTGCATCGAGACTTAAACACATCAGCAATATTTATGTTACATTAACGCGCGATCTACAACAGTCCAAAAGAGAACTTTCAAGTGTAAACACTGAAAAGGGAACAACAAACAAACCAACCAACCCAGACCGCCTCACACACCTCTGCGCCCTGCAGGACGGGGCAGCTCCGAGGAAGGGGCTGCCAGCCGAGGGACACCGAAGGGGAAGCCCCGGGAGGGGCTGTTCGCAGCCAACGCGTGTTCCAGGCGGGACTCCGCCGGTGCTCAACCCACCTCGCCGGGAAACCCCCGGGCTCCCAGCCCGGCGCCGCAGCACCGCCACAGGACACTAAACACCCAACACCGAGCCCGGCAGCCCCGCCGATGTCAGCTGTCAGCCCAACACCCCACCCCCGGTCCCCAACTCCCTCCGACGCCGCCGCTCCACCGGGAGCCGACTCCGGCCCCCACCGCGGCCACCACCCGCCTGTGCCCCCTCACCGCCCCTCACCGCCGCAGTCCCGCCGGGGCACATGGGGCGGCAGCGGCCGCGTTACCTGCTCGCAGCTCCCTCGCCGGGGGGGCTCCTGGAGAAGAAGCGAGACAAAGTGCTGTGCCATGAGGGGCCGGCCCGCCGCCGGCTGCCCCCGCTGGACATCGCCGGGACGGGACGGGACAGGACGGGGACGGGACGGGAGGCGCCGCCAGCAGCCGCCCGGCAGCGAGTCCCGGCGGCGTGAGGAGGTGGCGGCCAACCCCTCCCTCGCTCCGCCCCCGGGGAGGAGCCGCCGCCCGCCGCGGGCAGGAAGGGGAGCAGGGCGCTCGGGGAGGCGGAGCGGCGAAGGCCGGAGCAACAGGAGCTGCCTGAGGCTCCCGGGCGTCCCTCCTGTGGGCAGCCGGGCACGGACCCGCTGCCGGTGCTGCCGGTGCTGCCGACCGTGAGGGGAGCGTGAGGGGAGCGTGAGGGGAGCGAGGGCGGCGCGCGGGGCGGCACGAGGGGCGCTCGAGCCGCGCCCGGCCCCGCGCGAGGCGCGCGCGGTGCGGGGGGGTCGGTTCGGTTGCTGCGGGGGTTTAAATTAATGGGCAGTAATTAGTGACAACAAAGAGAAAAGATCAGATGCTGCCCCGTCGCTCCTGCCGATCAAGAGGGACTTGGAGAACGGGGGTTCTCCTGCCTTTTAAAAAGTTGCCTTCCTAGAAAGGAGTTGTGTGGTTTTGGTTTTTTTAATACCAAAACCTTCCTCTCTCTACCTCGAGTTAACATCAAACTCTACCTACCAACAGAGATGATATTGCCATTGCAACAACACAGTGACAAATGCTATCCTCATTTTACAAAATAGAAGTAATTAGGTTCCAAAACCAAATTAGAAGAGTGGCAATTTATTAGGACTGCACAAACAGGCTGCAGGGAGGCTTAGGCTCCCAGTGACTGTTTATTACTTTTAATTCTTCTTTGCCACATACATCTCACAGCTTCCCTACCTATTGCTTAAGTAAGATCTAATCCCCAAGCTGTAGTAAACCTGAATATAATAATTAGCATTTATAAAGCATCTGGTATCTTCAAAGGATTCAAGCATTAATTAATCCTCATAATCACCTCAGGATATAGTTAAATATAATATGGTGAGTGGTTTGCACACAGAGACAGAGGCAATCAAAACACCTAGCTGCATCCAAAATCCGTGTCCACACTCTCCCAGCGAGATGCCTGGAGGGGCACCACAGGGCAGCATGAAGCATTACCAGGGCTGTGCTTGTCCAAGAACAAAGAGCCAACCTAATCAGAAATGCAAATCCCAAACAGTAACATTTTGTGCTCAAATCTGTTCCTCCTTTCCTCACTGCATCTAAAAGCAGAAAATACAGAAACATACCAAACGACAGTTCTGGCAGAGGCAAATAATGAAAATAAAAAAAAAACCAAACCAAAATACTAAAACTATATCAATATGAAAGGTGAACATGGCCCATCTTAGATAAGCCTTTTATTTTTCTGTGCCCTGGAGTAATTGACACGCTTATAAGTAAATAATTTTGACACATTTATAATAATAAAAGGGGAACTGCCAGCAGGGTTGTGACAGGGACCCAGATTTAGGCACCTACACCTCCTGCAAAGGGGGGAAAGATCAGCTCTTACCCAAAGATTCAGGATCTCCCAAGTGGCAGGTGGTTTCACATATTAACACAGCTGTCAGCACCACCAGCAGCACCAACACGTGCCAGCCAAAGCAGATGGGGAAACAGGTTCCTTTCCGCCTCAGATCAGAGCACTCACATGTGGCCCACATGAAGTATGGGCAGTGAGAAACCGCCAAAACGCACTTGCAGAGGGATTTGCACAGAAGAGGAAAATGTCATTTTTTTCGTAGTCCATCCTGCCCAGAGTTTCACTCTAACGTTAAATAAGAGAGGGGAGGGTGCTGTGCCTATTCCATAGCCACTTAAATTCTCTGCTGCAGTTCTCATTATAATGGTTGTGCACAAGGGAAACCTCCCCCTTGTCCTTGCTGATTTAGAGTGAGCAGATGGTGAAATTTTAATTGTGCTTTCTCCATTTCCTTCTTTATATGGGTCTCTAAAATCTTGAGTCAAATCTTTTGTTTTGGTTGGATACTGAAAAGGAAAGCAAGTTTCCATCATGCTGGTTTAGGAGGAGCTCTCCTCTCACACCCAGTTTTACAACTTTGCTGATACATTGAAGTCGTAACTAGGGGAGAAATGTAGTTTTAAAACCGCCAAGCTAAATTTGCCTGCAAGCACATTTTAGCACAATTGCTAAATGAAAACAACATTCTCAAACTGTTTCCATTGTTGGACCGATACAATAAGAAGTGGTCTTATGTTTTGAGCTACGACTCTGCTAAACAAAAGCATAGTTCAGTTTTCCATTTCATACATGTCTAATACATTTATCTATAAAAATATATGTCTCAGTTACCTTTTCTTGTTAAGCAATCCCATTTTCTGGGCTCTTACAGCTATATATAGCATAAACAGCAACAGCGTTTTAATAACAAACAAACAGTCCCTTACCGATCATTTTCCTTTCCAGTGTATAATATACCATGGCAAGGTTTCTAATAGGTGGCATGAGACCATGAACTAAAATGCACATAACAAAGTCATCACGTCTCTTAGCCATTTTTCACCATCTTAATTGTCCAGATGTTGAAACAAATACTGATGTCTCTAAAACCTTTAATCTGCACTTACTCTAAAACAAAGGCAAACAACAGAGTTGAAGATTTGGGTCTTGGATATGTTATTACAGAGATGAAGTAGGTTAGCAAGGATTTCTAGGATTATTCTCTATCTAGCCACGACCTCCTGCTGTACAGTACGTACTGCGCAGCTTGCAGCAATCCTCATCCTTTAGCTGTAAGCACACAGTTCCTCCATTCCATTCACTGCAAATGGTTTAAAAGGCAGACACATGGGCAGCTGCTATTGTTCAAATGCCTTCGTGTCTGGAGAAGACAGCTGGAAATGACTCGTGGCTTTAACTGCAGCTTCTGAGACCCATAGCTGTGTTATTCAATATTTGTGATACGATTTATACACAGTGCTACCTATGGCTAAAGTTCAGTGTAGTAATTAAAATCTTTACATCAACTTTTTGGAAAGGCTCTTCTCTTTGTTTTCCGCTCTATCATTTGTGACATTTGCATTTAGCCAGTAGCAAAAGTGCTAAAAGGGGAAACTAATTGTAAGGTACAAAATAAGAAACGACCAACCCACCTACAGAACCTTTTTCGAACAGGTTTTCCTGCACCTGTGCATGGAACAAAAAGCACTCAGAAGCTTCACACTGTGGTGGGATGTGTGCACCCAACTACTCGAGGTAAGGACTAACATCCTTTACTGGGAATCCCAGAAGATTTGACAACTTTCAGCTGATTAGCACAGCTTGTCTGGAAGGCTTCCAAGACATTTCTGACAGCACCTCACAGCAATTAAACTTATGTGAATACAGAATAAAGATTAAACTCACTTGTCCTCTTACCAGAGTTAATCAAAAACCACCCTACCCTAACTGGAGCTCAGGAAAATCTGCACTTCATCTGATGAGGTCTCTGTAAAACCATCCAGTTGTGAGTCTGCTTCCTTGCTAAGACAATCTCTCTATTCACCACCATCCTTCCTTGAAAGCTTAAAAAGTGCTTCAGTAAGCTGATTTCATCCAAATTCTAACATATATTGTACGTACAGTAAAAAGCAGCACAAATAATGTAGTGCTCAGAAGAGTGCAAGAGCTTCCAAAAGGAGGTGTCTTACATGCAGATGCAGGAAATCCATGAAATACATAACCAGCAACTTCTACACTGTAACTCATTTAACACTTTTCCACCTAGAGTATCTTCTGAATATCAGATTTGTGGTTAAAAATTAATATACACCTTTTTGTACAAATCTACACCCTTTCAAATATAAAATCAAATGACTATTCTAATAGTCTTACCACATTTCCATGCACGTGTATGAAAGTACTTTTAAAAGTTTACAGATTACTAAGCAGTTCTAGATTTTGGTACAAGCCTACGCACAGTAAACTTAAGCCTCTGGACAGCAGACCTGCCTTTTGTAGTCACCTTTCAAAGATTTCCTAAAACTATACCTTGGACCCCAAGGCTTCCTAGAACCACTGACTGCAAACCACTGTCAGACACACACCAATGCCACCTTTTCTCTACTCTGCTGGATTTCACAATATAGAATAGTTTTTAATCCAGTGTCCTGAGCCATTTATAGAATGTTATTAAAAATGTTTGAAAATTAGAACATATATATATACACACACACACATATGTACATATAAAGTAACCCCTTACCACATTCACATTAAGGAAGTATATTAGCATATTCCAAAAGGCAGAACCATCTCTAGTGTTCGGAGAAATACACTGCAAAATATTCTGGAAGTAAAAATGACTGTAAGTACACCAGTCTCTAACAAGCAGAATTCTTATGGACTGAGCCAAACAGGATCATAAAAGCTTTTGGCTGCAAATGCTGCAAAATCCCATCTGGTTTCATGGAAAAACTTATTTTCCTCTCCATTTAAGCCTCCAGTAAGATATTAAAAAAAAAAAAAAGGAAAGAAAAAAACAAAGAAGAGATCTATTCTTATGTATACAAATTATACACAAAAGCTACTCTAAACAGGCAGAAAATAATCCAATCTTAGAACAAACAGAAAAACAGAGTGTAGTTCTTGGCATACAAGTTTCACACAGCAGTAAACACTGTTTCTGGAGTACAGAAAAGGGATAAGAAAGAAATCTCAAAGGCCAAGTCTGTAAGAAAGCAAAGGACCATGGATCAGACTATGCCTGGTTAGCTGGATCAGTAACAGCATAACTGACCCCCACACACACACTCGGTTTGTGTTTGGTTTTGTTGTTTTGGGTTTTATTTTTTGGGTTGTTTTGGTTTGGGGGGTTTTGTTTGTTTGGTTTTTGTTTGTGTTTGTTTTTCTTTAAACCCAACACGACAGAACCTTGAGCAGGGAAAAGAAGATTTCTCTTAATACCCAAGAACAAAAATTCTGAGTAATCCATGTTTGCTCACGCAAGCAGTCATTGTTAGTGAAGTCAGAGCAGAAAAGCTTTTTCAGCAAAGAAAACACCATCACAAGAAGTGTCTGGCTAAAGGGGATATAAGCCTGAAACTCAGTCTTTTTACCTGGTGTTGTTCTTCAGAAGTATTTTCTGTATTTA